CTCGGTGCATTCTCAGTTCTCAGATGCAGAGCAGCATTAATATTTATCTGCCTTCTTTCATGAGAAAATTATCCAATGGGCTTAGCACATGCGTATTTGGAAAGAATCACAAGACACTGAAAGCACCGTGAATTGAAACCTGTGTGCATTTGAATGTCCAATCAGTTAAAGAAAACTCCAAGTCAATGAAACTGAGTATGTCTGATTTGAACACCATATGTCGACATACATTACTCATCATCTGGAGAAAACCGTATGGCAGAGTTAACACTCACTGCCTTGTGCTGTCCTCTCTTCCTTCATGAGCAGCAGGGATTAAGCGGAGGATACGTGCACATGTTTCACCAATAACTTCATTTCCCAGGTGCAAGTTTTCACACATAACTTCCTTGCTGCTAATCCTTGTTTCACACCAGTAGCCACCCATGGCTCCTGGGATGAAAATTCCTGCTCAGTTGACTCAACTTCATAGGGCTCTGGAATCAGAGCTGGTTTGAAAGGCACCTGCCAGGTCCAGAATTTTGGGAAAATTATTTATGCTCTACGAGCCTCAGTTTCCTCGCCATTAAATTGGGCATAATAATGGTCTCCCCTCAGAGAATTATCCTGAGGACAAATAAGCTGCTTATGGAGGACCTGGGACACTGAACACCTAAGAAATAACTTGGATCTCTCAACAGCACCAAGGAGCTCCAAAGACAGGCCAAGTCTGTCCTGAAGGGTGCAATTTCTAGTACTTCACCTCCCTCTGACCTTGTTGTGGGACCTTCAGTACCTTCACACGGCTTTTCAAAACTTCTTTTCTTGCAAAAATCTGAAGCTCAGTCACAGTGCAGTGTAACTGATGGAAGATAGTTTGAAATATATTCTTGGCAGAGGAAAGTGTAGATTTCAACAGGAATCGAAGCCCTTGGCTAACAGAAGGGCACCTCTAGGACACGGTCATGCCCATCAGAGAGCTAGTGGAAGTGAGTGGGATGCCGCCCCAAACCTCTGACAACACTCTGCCATTTGCCTTTCTCAATGCCCACCATGGGGCTGCCCCAGGGTCTAGGGATGAAGGGGGGTGGTGAGCTCTAGGCTGTATGTCTCATGGAAGGGCTTCCAAGGCCACCAGCAGGCTCTTCTGATGTTCCAGCTCCTTGAGAGGAAAAGGCAGAAAGGACAGGCATGTGTGTTGTCTCTGCAGCTCACTTGGGAAGGCAGGGGAGTTGGGTGGTGAGTCTTGGCAGGCTGACCATGGTGCTGATAGGCTCTCATCAGACCACACGTGGAGCCACCTCAGGGTGCTCCAATTTAAAGGAGGGTGCTGGTGATTTGCAGTCATCCGCGAGACAACAAGAATGAGCAGGACACGCTTAAAACTCTGGAGGGAAACTTCAACCTGGAGAAGACAAGACCCGGAGGGCCTGCCATCTCTAAACCCTTGGCACCTTGTCCAGGAGGGGTGGCCCTTCTCCATGGATCCAAAACAAGAACGAGGACTGAGGGATGGAATTTCAGGGATGCTTATTTGGGCTGAAAGTAAACAATGAGCCTTTATGGATGGGTAGCCTCATGGGACCGTGAGCTCTCTGTCATTCGAATGAGCAGGAAGGATAATGAGGATCTCCATCGATGGGCTTTGGACCACATGATTTTGGTTTTTTGCCTTTTAAAAAACTTTTTATTTGTAAGCCATTAATTTTTCTCATTTGTAAATACATTTATGAAAGTTAAAAAGAATCAGTACAAAGAACACCTGTGTACCTTTTATCCGTATTCATCAACTGTCCACATTTTACTCATTTACTGTATTACCTGCATGTTCACTTGCGCGGTCTCTCAGACCAGATAGGTTTTGGGTCCCTTCTGTTGAGAGTTAGAATTCTACACACCGAGGCTTCTTTCCAAGTCACAAGATTTTAGAAAAATTGAAATCCTGCTGGTGGTGCTTTCCGTAGCACTTAGCATAAAGCCGAAGTCCGCATACGTGATCGATCGATAGAGCCCTACAGAGTCTGACTCTGACCCTCTCCCAGACCTCATCTTCATTTTGATCACCCTGCTGCAGCTACTCTGGTTTTCTTTTTCTTCCTCATACATGCGAGGCTCATTCCTGGCATAGGGACTTTGCTATGTAGCTCCTCTGCCTTCAACAATCTGCACTGGTTATCTCTGGCCGGGTCTTTTATTAACACTCCCAGACCTTCCCCTCTCCCCTGCCCCACCAAGTGCCCTCCTCCAACTCCTACAAGTTACTCTATCACATTGCTTCATCCCCTCTTACCACTGTTTGAAATGATCTGGTATTAATTCATTTGCTTGCCTTCTTGCCACTCCCTGGAATGTAAACATTGTGAGAACGGGGGCCTTGTCTACATCTTACTTGTTCCCATGTCCTGAGTGTCAATGACAAAAAGTATTCAATTATTTGCTGAATGAATAAATAAAAAGGACAAATGGGTCCGAGAACACCTGGTCAAGGACTTGTTTGTGCAAAAATGGTTTTCAAAAGAGCCTTGATCAGGTGGAGTGTATTCTAAGCGAGGAGAGGTTTGGGGAAGAGTCTCCCCAGAGGCTGCCCCATCCAAAAGAAGGGGTGGACTCTTTTCAGAGGCCAGTGTGCCTTCGACTGCCGTCTGTTTGAAAAGATTACCATAAAGGTAGACGTGTGCAAGGCCTCCTGGAGCCAAATCTTCGTGGGTGGTTGATATGAGCAAGAGTGGAGGGGTATAAGGAGGTGGTACTTCCATATCTGGATACCCTTGGAACTGAGAATGCCTCAATGCTTTAAAAAACTAGCTGTGAAAACTCTTTACTATGTTGAGATTCCCTTCAAAGGAGCTCAAAGATAATCTATGGTGATGCTACGGATAGATGGATTTTTCTATATGTTCTTTCTCTAGGATCACTCTTGCTCTGGTAGAAAGTAGTTTCGCAGCCTCCCAGTGAGGCCTACATGGGATGCTAGTAAAAGGCCTGAGTCTTGTCCACATGCGTCCATTTCCTGTCAGGTCTAATTACTGCTGAGGACCTTGAGCACTGGGTCTTTGCCCTGGGTGAAGTCTAAAAGCTTCGACACTTGAAACTGGCCTCCTTCTCAACCAGAGCGGAAATATCCAACATCACCTATTGTGCAAGAGGTGGGAAGACACGTGACCTGGAGAAAGTGGAGTGAATCAGCCCCAGGAAAAATGATCTTTAACGGCTTTGGTTAATGCACTTACCTCAGTAAGCAAGAATAGCTATTAAACAGAGAAGAGCAGTTCACCACAGTCTATGAGGCAAAAATGCTGATTTTGAAAGTTTTGAAAGGATAATATCCTAAAATTAAATTAATGCCACTAAGTCAAGCTATTTGAGAGGAAGCCTACGCGATGGAAAAAGAACCCACGCCGAGAGGTACACTTGCTGCTGTTTGAATCCTAGCTCTGCAACTTAACTGCTATGTGGCTGCAGGCAAGATATTTAACTTCTCTGCTGTGCCTCAGTTTACCCACCTATAGCATTGGCATTCTACGTACTCCACCCATGGGGACTTTAGGATTAACAGAGCTAATGTGAGTAAAGGGCTTACAACAGTAGCTAGCACAGAAACAGTAACTTCAGATACCTCACCTAACTCTAATCCTAACACCTGGTAACATTGGCAGAACAAACTTCTTATTTTGTTGACAATCAGTTTGAGGCTGTACGTCATATGGGTGATAAGTCACTGAACCCTAACTTGGACTCAAGTCACTGCCCACAGTCAGCAATCCAACCTTGGAGCCTGGCGATGGCTTGTAAGGAGGCACATCTTTAAAAGCCTCACGGCTAGAGCCTTTGTTGAACCCGCCAGAAACTTGACATTGTTTGAAATTAAAAAGAAAAAGAAAAACCCAAAACTCTGAAGGTAAATGAAGACTTTTATGCGAATGTAGAACTATCGTCTGCATTTCTGACCCAAACATTGAAGTATTACTTTCACTCACACAAAAAACAGAGATAAACAAACCTAGAAAGACTAGTTATTTGCCCCATCTCCTCTAAGCAAAGTCTCCAAAGTAAACAAGCCGTCCAGAAGAAAAGTAGATTAGCTTTCGGCAAGTCTTCAGTTAGAAAGGCCTAGAATTCCAGTAGCTATACAGGTAAGGGTCCTCTATGAAACCCGATACACATCATCTGAGGATTATCTGGAACCTTCCATTCCCCATGGTTTTCAGGATCCCAGCTACTATCAGAGGAGGTGAGCGTGGCACGATCAATGGTGGTACCTTAGGGCAATTACTTCCAAAAATAATAAACATCCTTTCTTAGTTTAATGCCATTGTATCATTTCCATCAACATCCTTTTTTTTTTTTTTTTTCATTTTCGCCCATCATGGAGAGAAAAGGAGAGAAACCTAATTTGATTTACAGAGGGAAAAACAACCCTGAATGTATTTTTTTTTTTTTTTTTTTTTGGTCAGGGGTGGGGGTGTGTGCAAGGAGAAAAGGTCAACCAGCTGGTTTTCATCTGTATGCCATAATTCTCTGTTTAGTTTACACTATTAAACTCCAAAGCTTTGCTTTAATCTTAACTGTTACAGTATGCCTTCTTGCAGATCCTATCATGTCGCATCCCTGATAGGGTTTCATATTCTGGCAAAGCACCATCCCCCAAGCTGGTCCTTGCCATATGGGTAGTAAACGCGTCCAACATTTTTTCATTGGCGCCTCTATCATTATGTTTTGTCACCAATGGTTTCTCGGGTTTTCAGTAAATTGCCGCGTATACTGTGGTTTGGAGCTGTCGAGATGACGGCCCGCGTTGATTTGTAGACAGCCGAGTCCTCATTAGGGCCTCCCTGTCCTGTTAGCCTGTGGAGGGTGACCTAACATCTGTTCGTTGAGGGGGTGTGCGTAGGGGGGTGAAGGGAGAAGCTGTAAAGGAAAGACAGAAGGCAGGGGCAAGTTGTGGGAGGGAGAGGCAGCTTCCTGGAGCCCTCCACTCTCTCAGAGTCAGGAGAAGGAGAGGGATGAGGAGAGGGACCTACCTGATCTGTCTTCGCTTTGCGCATCACATCTTCGGCACAGTTCGGGGATGGTCTTGAGCGACGTCACCGAGTACTGGAGGGGAAGCCGGAGGAGAAAGGGAATAAAACAACAATTTAAAACAAGAGCATTGCATTCATTCAAGTGTCCAGAAAAAGCAAAGCACAAGAAGTGACACTTGAGTACGACATGTAGATCCAGAAAAGTCGAATTTTATCCTCAACGGGCTCCTCAGTGATCCGGCAGTGACCCAAGCTCTATCTGTACACATCTAAGCAGATGTACATCAAGAAGGGCTATGTACCCCTGCTTTAACATGCAAAGTGTATCCGGCAGACATTCTCTCTCTTGTTGCTTCTGCGACTTGTGGAAGATGGAAGAATTTTCTGGCCTTGAGGAATTTCCGGAAGGTGTCTGGAATACATGCGTTTTGAGTCCGATTGTGAAGGGCCAAGGGGAGAAGCACCCAGCTTCCTGCAGCGCCCAGGGTAGCCAGGAGCCTCACCTGTGCTGATATTCTCTGGGCTACACCAACATCCCTCGTGTCGCCACTTGCCAGAGGTTTTACTGTGTGGCATCCGTGAGCTCCGTGGGAAACACAGGGGTGATGTTATAAAGAGCAAGAGGAGGTTGGTTCTCTGTCTGGAAGCTAATCTGTTTTATGTATAGATTAGACCGAACTGAAAGAAACCAGCCCCCGGGATCAACCGGGCACCGACTCAGGGGCCAGCTATCAGGATAACAAATTACGACATAAGGGGGCATAAAACCAGAAGGGCTAAAACAAATGGAAAATCAATAGCTCTGATTTACGGGGGCTCTGTCTGATGCCAATCAATCTTTCTTTAGAGAAGGATGTTTTAAAACAAAATAGATAGGATGAACTATTTCTTTAATCAAAGGACCATCTTCAATCATACATTAACTCATAAAACCCAGCTACCTACAAATATTTGGCTCTGTACCTTTGGGAATACTGTTCTTATGGGAATGAGAATGTGTGATAAAGGACTTCACTCAGAATTTGGGGGGGGGGGGAAAGAAAAAAAACCTTTAATTAATCTGAAAGAAAAATGATCACGGGAAACTCATTAGGATTATTCTAGCGTTACAAGTGAGGAATGTGTAATTAGGGTACATTTGTCAATAAGAAGGTACTCTAGTGAGCTTGATGTTGACAGATGAAGCCAAGGGTCTACATGGAGACCCCCCAGTGCTTTCCACACAATGGCAGGACAGCAAGACAGAGGGAGGGGGCAGTTGTATGTATTGTCAATTTGCCAACCGCATGTCACAAACAAATTAAATCTGCAGGTCTTGCAAGTGAAAAATGAAATCTCAAATGACCAATTAGAGAAATTACTCCTACCTGTCTGATGCAATAACATCCTGTTTATGTTGGCCAGTCCTCAGAGACTACAGGTGCTACTAGTCAATCCACTCACATACTCAGAAAGAGGGAGGGCTGTCTCTTGAACCAAAACTGAACTTCAAGCATTTTTCCCCTTTTACAGTATGTTCTTTGGGGGATGGGGGTAACATAGGTACACAAGGCATTTTTCTTGTTCCTAATAAGGTGCCTTATGTTCCTGGCCAAGTACAAGCTCTCTAAGGAATCCGGTAGCTTCTTGAGACCAGCTGGTACAGGTTAAATAATTACACAGTTTACAATTCAATTAAAACGGGGCCTTTTGTTTCCGCGGCCATGCGCCCCACAAAAGCACCCTTTGGCAAAGTCTCACCCTTGCTCCTTCTGTCTTGTTTTGTTGTTCTCCCAAGGCAAATTTTAGAAAGAGGGAGCTAAAGATGGATTAGTGTTTAAATGGAGTTAATGATAAACTCAATAAGGTTGTTCACGGGGCTTAATGATATGTATTTGATTAAACTGGCTGCGGGGCTTCCTGCATTTTCAGCCACATGCATCCTGACCGCCACCTCTCACCCCAAAGCCGGCTACATCAGAATCTCTGAATTATGGGCTCTACCCCCAGTTCTTCCTACGTGACCTCAAAGATCCTGAGTGTGCAGCAACTTGTAACATAATGACATTTAAGTTCGAGCAGCACAGGCTGCCTGGATGGTGTGGGGACTGAGCACCAGGCAGAGGATGAACCTCGCGGAGCCCCACGCACCGCCTCAACCTGTGTTAACCCGCGGCAGCTCTGTCTCTCCACCCTTGGCGTACAGAAAGTCACTTCTGTGAAGGTATACGTCTCAATTCTTTGGGAATAATGACCTTGAAGGAAAAGTCATGTGCTGTGCCTGGTGAGGAAAATTACAAATACAGCCATCTGAGAAAAGGATGATGTGTTGGCCAGACAATCAAAGTTTTGGGGAACCGTAAGAGTATGTGGAATGTCAAATTCAGCGAAGACTCCAATCTACACTGTGAACAAATCTACTATCCTTTATAAACACACAAGAAACAGAATCAGTTTAGGTATTTGTTTCAGTAAGCACAAATGCTGCTCTCTGGATAGGAGATGAAGCTTAAGAGAATGTTGTACAGTCAGGTCACGAAGGGAAGAGTGGCCGGAGAAACATACAATTCACAAAACCAACATGCGAAAACATTTTCATATTTGCACATTTGGGAATAAGCAAATGACCCAGGAAGTCTCTCTCACATGAGTGCATTGTCCTACCATCTGGGAGCTAAAAGGGAGGGCTCCCCAGCCCTTCATCCCAGTACAAAGGACAGATGGCCTTTTAGAAGGAGCTGTCTGATAGCCAAGCCACCTCATTCTCCGGACAGTGGCCAACTCCCTGGGCAACAACTACTGTCATTTTGGCCCTATCAGAACCAAAGTCCAAAGTGTCTTCCCTGTCTCTTGCTCCCAACCCCAGCCTTTATATTCTGTTCCCTTGATGCCTTTTATCCTTGGGTGATTAGAGAGAGGGGGGTTGCAGATGGTTGTTTCCTGGTTTTATGTCACTCTTGTTCTTCTTCTAAAAATCTTCCAGAGGTTAGACCCGTAGAAATAGCCTTTGTGATTCAAACTTCCTTTCCAGGTCTCAAGAAAAGCCCCTTCTACAGGTTGACCAGTTGCCTCCACTTCTTCAGTGGGCATGCAGTGTGCATTCAAAGTTTAGTTCCATCTTCTGTACCTTGGCTGGCAAAGCTTTCCTCTGGCCAGGGAAAAGCTGCCTTTCTGCAAGGCCAGCTTGGGCTGTGCTTTCTGCATGAAACCCTGGCTAACTGCTTCAGCCCTAAATGACCTTGCTCTTTACTGCCCTTGGTAAAATACTGCCTTGCCTTGGGCTCTGTTGTTTCCTAGATGTTAGTGTTGGCTCCCACAATTGCCTGAGGGAAAGGATGGTGTCTCTGACTTGCATATATACGTGGCACACAGTGGCTTATTAACTATTTGACTGGAATACCAAGACAAACACACATTTGATGGATCCCCGGCAGAATATTACAGCTTTTCAAAGGAGTTCTTTCATACTTAGGTAGTAAGTGGGCATTTCTTCCATGCTTCCATACTTGCACTCCAATTAACTGGCTTTCTAAAATGCAGATTTGACTAAGGTGCTTCTCTGTTTCACATCCTTCAGTGGCTCTGCACGGACTACAGGGCAAAGCCTCAGCATGGCACAGGAAGCCTTCCATGAGCTCAGACTTATCTCTTACCATTGTTCACTTCTTTTTTGATTGTGGCAATATGAAATTTCTTAGGGATGCCATATCTGCTGTTCTACCTGTCTACACTGTTAGGCGTGCCATTCCATTGACCTGGAATGCTATTCCACCCAGTTCATTAGGCAAACTTTTTTTAATTTTTCAAGATGGGCCTGGGAATCGCTTCTATAGAATCTTCTCCCACACTCCCAGATGGAAGTGATTCCAGCTTTCAAAGTGTGGTGTCTGGACCGGGGGCACAGACACCATCTAGGAAGTTGTTAGGAATTCACAGTCTTGGGCCCCATCCCAGAAACTCTGAGGGTAGATCCCAGCAATCTGTATTTTTACAAGCCAACTAGATGATTTTGATGTATGCTAACATTTCGGAACAACTGCTTTATATATAATTTAGGCATAAACCCATTACAGAATCCATCCATGATATTTCACCTATATGTTTATGTCACTGCTTTCTCTGCTTCCTGAGGGTGTGGACAATATTGTGTTTACCAAAGATAGTGGGTACTTACTGAACTTGAATAAAATGAATTCCCCTATGTAATCATGATTTTAGTGGCAATAATAAAAATAGTAATAGTAATAGTTAATAGTTATATAGCACTCATCTTCCTAAAAAATCCCTCATTATTACAAGTCTAGCCATGAAATTATGGTATATTTAAAAGAAAAAAACACACCTCTAATAGATTAACAGTATGGGTACTGGCTGATGCCTTAGCCTTCTGTATAAAGAACAATGGATCTGGACCCAGAAGATGCAGATTCAAGCCCCAGTTCTGGTATTTGTTTAGTTTTTAAATGTTTGTTTATTTTTGAGACAGAGAGCAAGGGCACACAAGCAGGGGAGTGGAAGAGAGAGGAGGAAACAGAGGATACAAAGTGGGGTCTGAGCTAGAGCCCCATGGGGCGCTCAAATTCATGAACTGCGAGATCATGACATGAGCTGAAGTCAGATGCTTAACTGACTGACCCCGCCAGGTGCCCCAATTTCTGGTATTTATTAACTGAGGTTCTGGACAAACTAGTCATTTCATATCTCTGGGGTTTGCTTTCTTTATTTATAGAACGCAGATAATCATATGTGGATAATACAAGTGAAGTCAGTTTACAAGGCCTGAAATGATGTTGAATGTTTTTGTCTCTTCTCCCTAACCTGTTTTCCACCTGTGCACACAGCCCTTCCCTCATCATCTTCATTGCCCTCCTGACTTTGAAGCTCAGTTGATCCAGATGTGGGAATTTAAGAGACAGAAGACAGGGTTGAGCTGGGACTGGAAAGGAGAGCCCAGCCTGTCCCAGCACATTATTTAACTTCTCTTTGGTCTTTCCTCCTTTATGAGAGTCCATGGCCAAGGGCCGACACTGAAACATTCCTTTGTGAACTCGAGTTGATATGACACAAGACAATCCTACACATCCCTGCCTGAGC